AATCTCTGGGTATTATAACGACGTTGTAATATCGTTTGGATAAAGTATCAAAACACCGTGGATGAAAAACGAATCATATTTTAAATAAATACGGTAGTTTGTTATTAAAAAACAAAGAGCAATTTATGCAGTAGACAGAGAGAAAAATGTTTCCCTCAGGATTATACGTTCAATCATCACTTACATTCTGAGAAGCGATTTATTTTTCATGCTTTTTTATGCGAAAGTGTATTATTTATAAAGTTTTAGTATGATAAGTATCTTTATTTATAGACATATATCTGCATATATAAGAGATTTTAATTAATTAATTAACAGATTTTTATCTATACATAATAGATTTACACACATTTATCTATATAATATATGCATATTATGTATTTATATAATATGTATTATAATAAATATAATTTTTTTAATCAAAAAAGATATGTATAGTACATTTCAAGAAATAAATAAAAAGCTTCGTAATAATTTAGATACCAGAAAATATTATTTCAAGTAAAATTGTGTGTAACAGATAATACTTCATTTTATATATGACAATAAATTAATAAATTATTAATTATATTATAGAATCTTAGAATCGATATGTATATAACTGTATGTTTCTCTACAATTTTGTAACAATTGTAAACTGCAGAAACTATTTGATCACAACAAACTAGTCCAATAAAAAATATTCAATATTTTATTAGTATTATTCAGATTGATCTTTGCAAAAATGTAAATGTTGCGAAAATTAGTCATATCATTAGGTTTATCGCAAAAATTAATCTATCCTAAGCTGCAATGAGAATTCCAGGATATCTAAGCTAACGATCTGAAATTGCGCGAAAACATGCTGGACCTTCGATGTTCACGCCGTACGATTAACGCTAAACGCTACTGTACGGTTTTGAGTGCTACTGATATAACTGATTGCTTACATGCACGACGTCAGCGAGGGAGTAGATCAAGACAGCCTATATTCGGCGTTTCACGCACGTTGGAAATTCGACTCCTGTGGTTTTAGGGTGAATCTTTGAGTGTTGTGCAAGCAGATGCACGACTAAATATTTAATCGAAATGTTAGTAGTTATAGGTACTATACGTAAAATGTCATCAATTCGAAGTTTTGACTTTAGGGGTGCACATAATTTCACAAAATATCTGTAAAACAATTATTAACAAAATATAAACGAAATGAGAAAACTTTGTACAGCCTAATAAACATCGTTACAAATAACTTTAATTTTATCATATTTAATATTATATTATATTATATTTTTGCTACATCTCATATAATGTTAAATTTTATTTTACTTACACTGTAAGAAATAAAATGTTAATTTTAACGTTTTTGCGTATCTCAGAAAATCCTACATCTTTATAAGTTAAAATGAACATTTTATTTTTAACAGTGTATTAATAAATACATCCAACAATTATTTTTAATTAAAATATATTACTTTTTTCATATATAATTTATTTAATTTCTCATTATATATTAAATACTTTTTACTTTTGGCGGCTAAATAATGTAATTTTAATCGAAAGTATAAATGAAATTTCTATAGACATCTTGTATATTGCGATCACAGCTTGCTACAATTTATTGTCAATAAAGACAATCAATCTTTGGTTCAATTAATTAGAGAAAATAAAATATATTTTTTTGAAAGATCAAATTAAAAACAAAACGACTAAATGTGAATATTAGATCTAGTGTATATAGATTTTGCAAGTACTCATTATTATATTATTTTTCACTTTAATGGTGACTTTTTTTATTTATCTTAATTAGAACACATTTACGTAACACGTGAAGAAAATTGAACAATATAGTATACACGTCGCAATCTGTCTCAATCACGATGCATGCTGCTGCATACCGCAAAACGTATTGATGTAACAACTGATTAATGTAGCAATGTCCGATTCACATCAGGATCATAACTCAATAGATCCCTGATATATTATTCTGCTCGTAAGATCAACTACGCAGAATTCTCGTTAACGTGTAGCGTTCGGTGTACCGACTGCAGGCTTGAACAAATACCACTCAACAACGAAGGCTATACCATAGGTATGCCGTGCTGCACGGTCTCGTATAAACGTGTAACAGGCGGAACATTTTGCTCTAGATCCGTTCGATCAATCCCGTCCCATCTGAAAGCACGCGCTGGCACGTATCCTTTTGGAATCGCTAAAGCCCGCCTGTACGTTGCGATGGAACCCATGAAGCTGTCCGGCAAAGCCCGTTCTATGATCTAAACAGAGTGGCGATCCGCCTAAAAGAAAGTCAAAACCACGTTTCAGCGGATCCGACATTACATTGAAATAGTTTCATCGACATCAAACTGCCGTTGCAACATTTAGGCAAACTCTCAAATTTATTTTTTCAAAAACACACACGATCGATAAACATTCATCGCAAAACTTTGCAAAGAGAAATTCGTCTATGATGTAATTAATTTTTGCTTGGTGATCAAAAATTATTAATATTAATATTGCAGTGGATTTATTTGTGAATTTAAGATAAATTGAAAATTAATTAAGTATAATACTAATTCACACAATTAATATGCAGAGACAATAGAAATATTTTCATCAATAAATAAAATTAGCTTTACGATAATGAAAGCTTTGTTGAATCTTAATTAGAACAATTAAGTGCACAGCTTTAAAGCCATTGAATACAAATCGACGTAAGATATATTTTAATAAAAATATAGAAACGAGTTATATAAGTCGCAAAATCAATATATTTTATTGTGTTGATAAAATATACACTGCGCATTTTATCAATTTAGTAGATATCTCGCTTTTACATTCAGATTAGATTAGTGTACAATAGCTTTAATGCACGCTGAGTGCCAGTTCTGTCAATGAAAAACGTTATAAATTATAGCTAATGTCTATGCAGTATGAGACAAATTTCTACTCGTACCGAAGCTGTTCTCGACTATACAAAAGCTCCTGTAATTTTACAAATATGTAAATCGAAAACACTATCAACGGATAAATTATTAGTCCGTAATTCCGCAAATACGTGGACCACCAAGCTCTTGGATAAAGCACTTATAGATCTCAGCTTCAATAAGCTCTTGCACTGATATAGCGTTCGCAATCGTGAGTTTCTACCTCGTGCACTAACATTAACAGCCGTTATTGTCGATAGAGGCGAGTCTGCGGTGCATACTTGGCAACGGTATTCACGTCGATAACTTTCTGTAAACAGGAACACGTTACGCGCCTCTACCAATGTGTTGTAGTTTGGCAATCTTGCTGAATCTTGCTGGAGTTCAATGGGTACGTAGCGCAAGCATGCGAAATTATCAACTGAAACAAAAAAAGGAAGAGACGAGAAAATAAACACAGAGGAGGATAGAGAGAGAGAAAGAGAGCGTATACATACGCGTGCAGAGCGAATGATATTCCAGTTTAGCGTACTATTATATATTGATCGAGCGCGATAAGGATTGTTTAGAACCTATTCAATATAACCTATTCAATATAAATTAAATGCCTAAAGCATGTCTATTATTCCACTAAAGTGGACCCACATGAATGATATGTCTAAAGCATGACCTATTATTCTATTGAAGTGGGAACATACATTCGCAGTGTATCTATGATTACAAAACATTATTCTATAGAGTCTAATTATCACCGCTCACTGTTAAAAAAAAAACTTACGACTGCATTATGTAATCAGGCTGCGTATTCGGGATAGAGTAATTCATGGTGCAAGAAGAATTACGACAGCCGCTAATAACTGACGGCTGATACGAACAAAGTTCTCCGATCTGTCAGCAGCGACAACATCATAATTCTCGCGAAGACGTCGGAGACAGCCGCGGGGTCGACAACAAGACAGACTCCTCGACGAACGTCGTGCTCCGGTGCACCCCCGCAGCGGTCATCCCTCAGTGGTCGGCTGGTCGCGGCGCCGCTTGACGAGATAGACGAAGAGGAATAGAAGAGAGGCAGAGAGAAGAGAAGCGGTCTGCGCGTAACCGGTCCGCGCTTTATCCGCGGCGAACGCAGCAAAGTCATCGCGCAAGCGCGCGGTGACGAAGTGTCCCCCACAGGATCATTTCGCGCCGCGACGCCGAGCGGCAGGCCTCATCCGCGTCGGCGGCTGGTCCATGCGGGTTCAACGTCGTCGCGCGGGTGGACGACGACGACGGCGACGACGAAGGGCGACAACGCAGCCCGACGACGATCAAGGGGTGTACGATGACGGTCGTCCGGCAGTCTTGTTAGTTAATCGGGGAAAAAACGCGACCCGGATCAACCTGATTGCCGATCGAATGCTGGCCAACGCGCGCGTCTCGGCCGGAGGATGCTGCGCCTGAGACAGGGCACTCGCGGATCGCGCGTCGCGACGCTCGTCCAGGCGGAAGCTCCACGTGAGCGCGGCTGTCATCGGGGACGCGTGCAGGTGCTCCTCGGCCGCGTGAGAGCGGCCGCAGGACATCATCTGTGAGCATTCAGACCTTAATACCGTGGATTATCGTCGAGGATTTACGATCAATACGCGTATAGCATCTGACAATACTGCTGATATATCGTATCATCCGCGTCTTCTACGCTCGCGGAAGCTTTCACGCATTCAGAGTTGATATAGTTCTAATAAATACGTGTCATTGCAGTGGTGAATGATTAATGTTCTCGCTAGGTGTTAATCTTGGTGTAATTTCTTTATCGGAACACAAATGTTCATGTAAGAATTAAAAATTGCTTATAGTGAAGTACGAAACATGTGTATGGTTTTGTGGTGAGAGTCTTGAGTGTCTATTATCCTTTCAAGGAGGCGCTATCGATTTGACAAGAAAACTTAATCTTGTTTTCATTGTGGAAGATACGACACGGTGAAGACATTGCATGGTGTGCGGACCCGGGAATATATGTAAAAATCGGTGGCTACACGTCGTGGCTTCACACGACAGCGAGTACTGGTAACGGTTAACAAACAAGGATCGGTAGTGCAGCGAGCGATCGAGGTGTTAAAAATGCTGTGTCGCTGGTACGCCGTGCTGGTACTCGCTGGTATTTTCCTGGTTATCGAGGCGATCGCGGTCAGCCAAGGTACGTTGCAATCTCATCTCATCCGAAATCCTCAGAACGTTAGCGAACGACTAACTCGTCCAACGTGAACTTCACTTCGCCGAGGAAACTTACCGCGTTCTTGCGGAAATACTCGAGATAACATGCTCCTGCGAGACTAATCTACGTAATTGAATGTCAACGATGAAATCTGATACAGTACCCTCATTTTCACGCTCATCTAGAAAACTTATCACGTCGCTAAAACTAAAGTACTACTGCAGAGTATAATCTTTGTAGGGGCACGCTGCAAATTATGTAATGTGTGTAACAATAAGTGTCTTCATATATGTGTGTGATTTAATTTCCAGTGTAAAAATAACACATACCGAAAATGGATTTACACATTATTTATTAAATGCATAGTACTCCAAATTTATTTGAAATAGAATCTCTAAAAAAATGAAAATTCTGCCAGTCTTAAAAAGATCAATCTTTAAGTGAGATTTCATTCTTTATAGAGTGAGATTCCAATTCAAAGGATTTAGAGAGTGTGGTGTTGTTTGTTACATAGAAATATAAATTACATTTATAAAAGCACTTATTGCACACTTGAATTTGCAGTGCAAAAATCACTTTTTCTTCATGCTGTCTTCTCTTTTCATTATGCGAGTATAACACGCTTCTATTACCATACACTTCTTAACGTTCACACAGAAAAACGTAATCACTAGTAAAATAGGTTTTCCGTAAAATCAAACGTGTAATGTCGCAAGAAATTTCTGCTCCATTACGCTATATTGGAGCTTTAAGAACCTTCGCAAAGCGAGTTAAGTTTTTTCGCAGTTGTCTACCTCTAATCAACGCGCGCAGTCTTGCATTACTAATCGCGATTTAATGAGAAACACATGCTCAAAGAAAATTCTCAGACGCTAATTGGAATGAATACGTACTTAAGACTTGAAATCAGATTTGCACAGCGTTATCTTAAAAACAATCTAGATCTTTTCTTAACTCCAATGTATACATAATTACCTAGTAACTATACTATCAAAATGTAAATGGCATATAAAAAGATAAACCAAGAATATACGACATCGACATTATTTTCACATGCATCTTTTCACTTATAAAATTAAATTTTTAAATATGTATAAATTAAATCCAGTGTGATATTTATGTAAAAAAAATGATATATGAACTTCGGAACTAATGAAAGGACAAATCGTATCTGGGAATATACATCTTCTCCCCATAGAGTCTCTCGAATTCCAGCAGCATCGGAATTTTGATGCCGGCGCGGAATTGTATGCAGTTACGTAACACTTGCTCATTCGCACCGCTCCGGTTGTCGTTCATAGCGATCCAAAGTAATTACGTGAGCGAAGATTATGTCAGTTCGACCGACATCGCGCCAACATCCCGCTACTAACTTGCGGAAATATCTGCGCGGCGAGTTCGCGGGTGCCGAGTTTGGAAACATCGCGGTCGCATTCAGTCTCGCGCCGCTAATTGTCGGTTCATAGTCAGTGATCCAGGATAATTGCGCGGATGGTGGCTGCTCGAGTGCGAATGCACCGCTCGGGACCACGTAGCGGGAGATGGCATACGTGCTAATGCGCGGAAACACGTGCGAGGATTTGCCTCGTATACGTTTTAACCGTACTACGACGACGGCGACGACGACGGGGACAACCGCGACTATGAGATTGCGTAGCCACCGTCAGCAGCGTTTTACGACACGGCGTCACTTGAATAATTAAAAGTCGGCTCGTTTACTTGGTATTCACCGGACGCCGTACTAGTATCGATCACAGAACGTACAACCGTCACCGACTGGTCCCATGATTACGGATACGGATGAAATCCTTACAATCAGAGCGCGCGACAAAATGTGGCACGTATCAGAGACGCGAGTACACAGAGAGGCACAAACGGAACAAAAGCACTCGTCTCGCTTCGCATCGTCCGCGCATATTGGCTCGAGAACGTAATTGAGTGCGACGTACAAACACTCGCGGCAATTGTTTTGCCGTTTGTCAAGGGAGACATGATTTCACCACTTTGAAACTAGTCTGGCAGCTGGAACGCGGTATTCCGCGAGAGATAACGAGCATTGTCTATCTTTTTCGCAGCAAGACCAAAAAAATTCAGGGGAACAAAACAGGAAAAGTGAATAATTAATCGCCAAGAGAGATAAAATGTCATAAAATAGTCAAGTCAAATCGTTTAAGAAATAAAAATGCAAAATATGGTTTGCTACAATATCTGAAAGTGTTGGATCATCAAAATAATGAAGACGCTCAAATTGATAGCTAAAATGTCAAAACCTTTACAGCATTAGCATCATGTTGTATCCCATACGTAATTATTATTTTGATGGTCAATCAAATTATTTGTAAACCTTTCTTTCCGTGCATAAAAATGTAATTAAAACGCATCTGGGTTAAGACTTCTTTCATCAACTCATCAACTCCTGGTGAAGTTAATCGATAATTAATTCGTAGAAGTGCCAACAGCAGTTCAATGTATCAGAACTCCTTTCTCTTCTTTTTCTAAAATAAACCGTATTTGGTTCTTAGATTGACAATTGGTGGCTGATTTATGTCCGTTTTCTACCAATGTAGTTTAATTTTAATATTGGTTCAACTAGCTGTTCATCTTTTCTTCAATTTTGAGGAAAGGAAAAAAAAATGAAGAGTAAGTTAAACCGATTGAAGTTATCTGCATTAACGGAAACAGGCATTAATTATCAATTAATTTAATTGACGATTGATGAAGAAGACCCTTAGATATTAATTGATACTAATTTGTTAATATACAAAAAAATGTATTATATGATAAATATATTCCGATTATTAATTATTGTAAAGCGTAGGAGTTCCAAATTAATGAGAAATAGACAATACCTGTCAAGTGCTCTTTTTATTCGCGACACACACAAGTATTATTTCTTTCATCCAAATGTTCGAGTGCATCCATTAACTTCTCATTCATGTATCGATCCGATATACTTGTGTACGAATTTTATTGCTCTCGTCTAATTAATTGTTAACGAGCGCGGAAATACTTGCATGATCGACGATGATGCACAGATACAGCCGTGTGACGCGTATGCGTTTAACGCTAATGTGAGTTCAACGCCGAGTTGATTGACGTATATGCGAATCGTGGACATGTGGCTCATTCGTGAAAGCATAATCGACGAACGACGATTTGGCATTAGGAACTATTTGTACAGCAAAATTTAACAAACGCTTTCGATTAACATTGAAGTTAATACTGTCGCGCGCAATATCTACTAAATACTTGACCTACTGCCACGTATTAATTCTTCGAAATTTTCTATTCAATGACATCAAACGCCGCACTACCAATTTTCCGACAAAATAAAGCCATTCGCAATTTTCGTGAAACAAGCAAGTAATGAAACTGTCCGACACGCATTATGCTAATTGCAGCGTTACCATGCAGTCATCACACAAAAAAAGTGAGATAATGACTATTTGTTAACTGAAAAGCGGTAAAATGTAACCTTTTAAGTATTAAAATAGTAATTAAAAATGACCCTTTTTCAAATTTTTGAGTAATTAAAGCCATTTAAGCAAATAAATTTTCGCCGATCTATCTTTAGATAGCATATATACTATTATCCCCAGGTATAATACTATTAATATAATACTATTAGCAAATACTATTATTAACTACATTATATTATTATCTAAGTAATGTGTAAGGATAATACATATATACGTTAGATGGTAAAAAAGACAATAAATTAAAGAATGGAACAAAAAACACAAATATATTTTTTAAATATGCGAAAAATATTTATGGTCTCCAAAAGAGTCACGTTAGTATCCGAAACTTAAAAAGACTTAAGGAGACCAACTGAATAAATATCGAGGAACAGTGAGAGAGACCGAGAAAAAGAGAGAGAGAGAGAGAGAGAGAGAGAGAGAGAGAGAGAGAGAGAGAGAGAGAGAAAACTGTTATCAAATAAGATAGCAATAAAAATATGAATAAAACGCTTATGTTTTACAAATCCCATGTCAGTTCAGGAAAAAAAAAATGATATGATCTATTCAAACTGTGTATGTGGAATAATTTATCAGTAACTTATAAAAAAAACTTGACAAAAAATTACTAGACGTAATTTGATAATTAGCGTTAAAAAGATCAATGCTGTCAATTCGACCAGAAATTATAGTAGATCGCAGTTCTATTGCAGTTCGATGTGAAGAATGCAAACTCAATCGAGCGGCTTAAATTAATCCAATCTGCGACAACGGCTCATACTCGAATTAATTAACACATGATCCGCGTCGCTCTTTGATGTACGCATTTTTAATATAATCCGCTTCCGGATGCAACGCGTCACGTGCAGAGCGTAATTGCAATCGCTCAATTCAACAGGATCGCCATCTAGTCATGAGAGTTTTTAATTAGCCTGAAAATCATGTCTTAAACTGAGAGAGGAAGACAGTAATCTGCTTTACTTACTAAATATATCCCCTTTGAGCTGTCTGTTATTCAGGTTGTTCATTTTTTTGTCGTCGTTTATGAGCTCGCTTTTGAAAGAGAACGTTACACATTTCCATAGGATCAAATGACCAAAAGGAGACATCGAGCTTTTAATAAAGAGGACGAAACTTCACAAAATTTTTTCTCCTTTCTTAAACCATTCTTTTAAAAATCTTTTTCTCTGATACATGTGAAACAGTTCTCAGATATTGTCTATAAACCAGATGTAAACAAGAAGATCGTACAATTTTTTTCGTTAAATATTAAAACTCAGGAATCCATTAAGACGTGTGCGAAACGTCATCACAAAGTATACGAGATATGGTCGGTAAAAAGTACTCCATTTCAACGGAAACTCGTTAAGACCGTCCTCTAATTGCAGAAAATCAATCTTGCGAAGTTGCACGAACGAGAACATCGCTTTTCACCGACACGCACAAAATCGCGTCGTTAGTCTCTGTAATTATAGAGACAGTCTGGACCGGGGGAGCTCGTTTCGACTCGATCCAATGCGCAAT